TTAATTAGTAATTTTAAAACTTATTTTAATTATTTAATTAAGATACATTATTAAATTATTAAATTAATAATTAATTAAATTGAGCTATGAAATTATTTATTATTTAAATCACTAAAATATATGTTTCATAAATTTTTAAAATTCGTCGGAACGTCCGCCGTCGAAAATCTGCCGAAAAGTCCTCCGAAAAATCTGAAAAAAAAAAAAATTGACAAAAATATTTCATTGTAATCCATCGAAAATCTGCTGAAAAGTCTGCCGGAAAGCCGTAGAAAAATCCATCAGTAATAGGATATTTTCCTGTAGTGTAATAAGAAATGATCCGAGAGATATCTTGATTCCAAAAGGGTCAAAAATTTGATTATCACTTACCATATGCTCATTTGCAAAATGATTGTACTTGGCTTAAATATTAGCTTGATTCACTTATATGAATTCAACTTGGGTCTGATTATTCAACCATGGGCTAACCTAAATGGATTGAGATTGCTTGGGCTAGCCCCTAAGAATCTTGGGCAATGGTTGACCAAATTGACTGCCAATGGATTTAATTTGGATGATTTAATTAGTCATTATTATTAGGTTAATTTATCAAAATAAGTTAACTAAAGTCTAAAATGGGTGGAATTTGGGTTAAACATAGTTCTTGATAATGCTATGAATGGGTTTGATCGATTTGTAATAAATCAAATATAAGGTCAAATTGTGATAATTGGTTTGGTTTGGTTTATTTAGATTTATAAGGTATCCAATTTGTTCAAGGTCAAACAAAGGTTTGACCATGGTCAATAAAATTTTAGCTTAGGTAAAACATTGCTCGTAATGTTCGATCTTAAAAGGGTTTACGGTAACGTTGAGCTAATTTAAGGCCAATTTATTAGATTTTATTTATAGTATTAAGTAGAAGAGATAAATGATCATTTTGGTCAAACTTGATTTAAGTGGGTTAAATGGGTTATCCATATCATCTTTTGACCCATCGGATTGTTCCAAGGGAAGTATGAGAAAACCTTGATGTCAAGAATAAGTTGATGTATTGTGAAATTTATGAAATTATTTATATAGAGAAATTATTAAAATTCATATCTAAATTATTTAATACTAATTAATGTGTATGGATTGAGGGCATAGCATGTGAAAGTGTTGAATATTCCTTTTTTTATTACTGAATTAATGATTCCTAAAAAATGTCCTTTATAACCAACTCAAATTAGGAGCATGCACACACTTTAAGACAACTTAATTAGAGTTTGTACATAAAGAGCTACTGAAAAAATTCAAAGAAGGTTTAGGGTCACTATCACTATTAATAAAATATCATAATTAGATATACTAACACATGTATATGTTTCTCTCGCATTGAATGGTGAATACCCTACAAAATAGTGTGATTGTTTATATCGTCTCTCACTATCACTTACCTTAGTCACTCAACCACAGACCCTTAAGAAAAAATCTAATGAAATTACAATATTTTTGATAAATTATGTTTGATTTTCTTCATCTTAGAGCTTGTATAATAATATTCTGCCAATCTAAATTTAATTTTTTTAAAAAATGTATAATTATTTTTCAAGAAGTTCCCTTATATATATATATCATGAAAAGAATATATATTCTTTAAAAGAATGCTAAATGTACTTAAAATTAGAGCTGTCAACATTTTACCCGACCCGAAAACCCGACCCGAACCCGAACCGGGTCGGGTTCGGGTTAGAGATTTTGACCCGTTTGTAAAACGGGTCGAGTTCGGGTTGACCCGGCGGGTTGCCGGGTTGACCCGCCAACCCGCTTTAACCTAACCACTCCGACCCTGCGCCTTGAGCTCCGACCCCGCGTGAAACACCGCGCCCGACCCCGCGCCTTGAACTCGACCCCGCGCGACCTCGCTGGTTCGCCGCTCGCTGCTACCTCATCCGCTCCGAGCCTCCGACAGTCCGACCCCGCGCGACACCGCGCCGGACCCCACGCGACCTCGCGCCCGACCTCGCTTCGTTTGTTTTTTATGGAGTTCTGTAAAAGATAGTTTTAAGAAATATTGATTCAGAAAATGGAGTTTTCTACCGGAGAAGCATATATAAAAAGCTTTCTCAAAACATCAGAAAAATGAATCAAATGGAGTTATTGGGAACTTGATTTGACGAACCAAACAGTAAAGAAGAAATGAATTTGTCATTTTAAAACAGAATAAGCACCAAAAACTTCTAATCAAACGAAGCCTATATAGTCTTTGCAAATCAATTTCTAGAAAAATTTGACGTTCTGGTTTATGAAATAAGTAAAATATGCATATCTATGAGGATGATACATAGCATAATTTTGACATAAATCTTAAAAAATAAATATCGAATAATTTTTTTGTATTCATATATATTAGATAATGACACGTGCTATTCTATTTGATTTGATGGGTACTAGATTGGGCATAATTTGGCAGCTTATAGCCTTACCTTCTTCAAAAAGTGATTTTCACAATTGATTATTTGCTTGTTTTTTTCAAGAGTTTAAGCTGATTTGTAAAACAATGTGATGCCTACCATTATGATAGAGCAAGTTACAGCAACATAAGCTCAATGTGGCTCTATCATGTGGGGAACAAGAAGGTTGACATGCACATAAGAAGAAGAAAAAATCATGTCAAAGGTGAAAATATGAGTTAAGTTTCTAAGATAAAAGTAATAATCTTATTTTTTTTTGTTTAAACTTAGGTTTCGCTTAATACAACTTTCTTAATGCTTTCTAAAGCTATTTTTTTGTATAAAAGTTTCTTAAATAAAAAATTTATATAGTAGCTAGATGGTTGCTTTAGAAAGCAGTAAGCAAGCCGCCCCAAACAAAACCTTAGATTGACGTGTGTTTAACAAATATAATATTTATTTTAACTAATGAATAAGATGAGAAAAATAATGTTATAATATATGTGCGAATACAGAATAACCCAACATCACAATGACATAAGAGTTGAGTTTCTAAAATATTAATAATATATTTGCTCATTATTTTTAATTTTTAGATTGACTAGTTTCTATCGAACAACATATTCGCACATATAAATATTTTATACTCTTATAGATTCTTAGTATAATAAAAAATAGATAGATAAATGTTTTTCACATATAATAAATTTATATATTTTTAATGCCTCCAAAGGCTCAACATCATGTAAACTCACCTGGCTTAAATGTTGATTAAGTTAAGTAATCTAAATTGGCTTGTGTAGCACAAATAATACACTCTTTAAGAGGAACTTTTATTACATCCAGTGAACATACGCTCCTATACGTTCGGTTTTAGACAAAAACAGCGCAATACCGAGTTTTTTGAAAAAACTCGGTACAACTCGGTACTCGGTATTGCGCTTTTTTTGCCTAGAACCGAACGTAGAGGAGGTTAAACAAACACAAACATGAACACTCACATACTCGGCTCGACTCGGTTCGTTTGCAGCCCTAGTCCCATTGAACCAAATATTTATTTGCTAAAAAATTTTTGTATGCTTAAATAGTTTTCAATAATGATATAACTTGACATTGGATAAACTTTATAATATAAACAATGACTAATCAATTATATATTATTGTTATGATTCTATAAAGTTTAATTGATTGATACGTGTCTTGAGATAATATTCGGATTGAAAACTTTTGAAATTAAATTTAGGATCATTGGAATTCTGATTTCAACAAATTTATAATCAAATTTAATGTCTCAGCATGATAAATGCATCGACATTACAAGTGATCTAATTTAACTCCAAATAAGCTCAAATCAAGCACTTAAAAAAACATATTTAAAAACTTCTAAACATCAATTGAAAGACTAAATGTTCTCCAATTCTTACGTGTTTGTTGTCTGATCAAGCATCTAGGGGAGACAAATCCAACGAACATAAGATCATTTGATTTTAACATGATTAAAGTACTCAAATGTTGGATAAATAATTTATGATCAAGAGGACTAATATGGATGGATTGTATTAGATTCCAACCCAATTTACATAAACTCCTCTCTCACAAAACTGTAAATAGAATTTCACTTTCTACGTAAAAAAAGTTCAAAAGCGGAGACAACTAAAGTACTTTTTTATATTTCCTAGTGATCGTCGCTTACGACTACCATCAACAATCATCATCACCATCGCATAACTATTATCATCAACGTAACTAGTTATTAGATTTCATTGATATTGATACTTAACTTTTGTAATCTCTATAACTTAATTATATCATATAATCATTTTTTCATTGTGTAGAAGAACATACTATTATATCTATAATTATATAGTAAATCATTTTATTTGGACAAGTCTAATTTTTTTTATTTGAATTTCTTACATAAATATTTTATATCTCTTATAATTTCAAACTATATATACATTGAATTTTTATACAAAACATTGACATTAAACACTCGTTTTTATGCAACAAATTGTTTATCACGTACGTAGTAATTATATTTATCTTAAAATTAAAAAATAATTTAAAAATATAATACATAAATTTATTAAATTCTTAATTTTTCTTTAAAATCAATATAATATACAATAGTTATCAACCAACTTTGTCCTATCCTCATCAGCACAAAGAACTTTGCTGTTTCCTGCGAGGACCCAAACAGCCGATTCCCAAATTTAACCGACAAATCGCCTCGTCATTATATATTCACATAACATTATCGACTTCCACGCCACAGACCAGCTCATATGTCGTTTATTTCTACACCCTATTATACTATATTGGATGTATTCTAACATGTCGCTTTTTTATTACTTTTAAAACCCTATTCATTTTATTATTGTTAAACGAACCTTTATAGTAATAGGAGGTTAAGTTTATAATTATTCATATTGTTAGGGTAGTGAGATATATCTATGAGAATACCGATCTCCCGCATAGATTTTCATTGCTAATGAGCAGCCTTTTGTTCCTTTTTATCTGTGTGCTGTAGAGAACGGTGAAGGAATTTGTAGATCTGCAGGCCGCTGCCTCTCATTCGATCTGTTCTTCAGCTTTTTTGAATTCTCGTAAGTTGCTTCGCTCTTCAGCTCCAGATCTAAGCAGTTTTGGGCATCTTTTTCCTTATGATGAGTTTGTCGGTTTCAGTAGATTTATGATTTTGCAACTTGAACGAAAGTTTCTGATGCTGGAATGTTGCAAAGTTCGTTTTTTTTTTCGCATTGAATGTTTTTTGATGATAGCAGCGCCTGCGCGCTTTTTGATGGCGCGGGTGGATATGTGATTTCATTTCTTACGGTGCTAAAGGTGGATATTTTACTTACATTGTGAGAAATGTTCTTATTTTCCTGATGGTGTAGGTAGGTTTTGGGTTTAGGGATTCTTGAATTCTGATGGGCCAATTTGTGATGATTTTTTTATAACCGTAGGATGATATAATTTAATTCGAAAGGGACCACATGACATGAATGTTATACTTACGAGATTTGAGGGTTCGTCATCTATTAGATCCTCTTGTTCTAAGCTGGATTAGTATTATTTAGGGCTGTTTGGTACTACCGTGGCTCTTTAAATAGATTTTATGGATGGGTCTTTGGAGCGAGTATTAACTAACTTTAGACTTACAGATTGGTAGCTCTACCATATGATTCCAGCAAGTATAAGAATCATTCTTTTTTTTTTTTGCACTTCTGGTTTGGTTTTTTCTCCATTTATAACTTACTCTTCAAAACATTCACTCAAGATTTTAAAATCATTTTTACAACTGAGATATGGATCTGCTTTGTTGAATATAACATTGCCAACCACCTAAATGTTCCTTCTTTGTATAAATTTTCTCAGATGTATCTTTATTTATGCTTGCAAAAGTGAAATTTTCCATCATCAAGGCTTTTAGGAGGCTCCAGAAGTGTCTCCTCTGGAAATCCCTAATATGCTTAAGAGCATCTGGGGACTACTAAACCTATTTCTTGATTTATCAATTTATCAAAACTTACATTGCAACTATGACGCATTGATATACGCACTTAGACATGGACATTGTATGGCACTGATATGAGACATAGCTAAACTATATATCTATATATTAAAAGCATGATATACTATTTGCATAAATTAAAAAAGCATGAAATGCATAGAATCCAATTCATATTTATCTTTGTTCTTCTACAAACAAAAAACCAAAATATTAAAGAGGCAATTTAAACAAATTAATTGTTAAAATCACTTTTTAGTGGTCATTTTCAAAATTGAAAGCCTCTTATTAGTATCTGTCTCCTCTGTAGTTCCACCACTCCCTCATCACTATGTCACTTAGCCCATATCAATATTTATTTATTAGTTTTTAATCAGACATGGCGATGATGTGTAAGACATGAGTTAGAAGTTTGTTGCATTTTGCATGCATCAGATACTGCACACATTGATATTATAAAATGTTGGCGCATCATAACAATAACAACATAGAAAATGAGTATTTTTGAATTCATGATTCATCCACTGTTTTTCTTCCCTTTACTTACCTGTTGACACAAATAACAAATCCTCTTCATTAAGTATTGCGATTCATGCTAAATCATGGAGCACTCTTTCAGGTGCATTATGGCTATCAAAGGAAATTCTACTGACAACAAGACCAGGAACTCTGTTTCTATAATCATTGTTGTTGGTCTTTGTTGCTTCTTTTACCTACTGGGTGCATGGCAAAGGAGTGGTTTTGGAAAGGGGGACAGCATTGCTGTTGAGATTACCAAACAAACAGATTGTACTAGCACACCGAATCTCAGTTTTGAAACCCACCACGGTGGAGATAGCATTTCCGATGAGCTTAAGTCACCGAATTTTGAACCTTGCGACGAAAGCTATATTGATTATACTCCTTGTCAAGATCAAAGGCGGGCTATGACCTTTCCTAGAAACAATATGATATACAGAGAGAGACATTGTCCTCCTGATAAAGAGAAGATGTATTGTCTAATTCCAGCTCCTAAAGGATATGTTGCTCCATTTCCCTGGCCAAAGAGTCGAGATTATGTTCCATATGCAAATGTTCCTTATAAGAGCTTGACGGTCGAGAAGGCAGTCCAAAATTGGGTTCAATATGAAGGCAATGTTTTTAGATTCCCTGGTGGAGGAACACAGTTTCCTCAGGGTGCTGATAAATATATTGATCAGCTGGCTTCTGTTATCCCAATAGCTAATGGGACTGTCAGAACTGCGTTGGACACTGGGTGTGGGGTAAGCCGTGAAGTTCCTATTTAGAAATCGCTTAGTCCAACCTTTTGTTAAATTATAGCTTACTTTTTGTCCTTGAAAATATTTGTAGCGATTCTACTCTACTTGTACATTGCTTTAAACTGAAAACTATTGTGCTGTGGATGATTATGACTGTATGGTTCAGTCTAGTTATCTCAACCTTTTTTGTTCGTTTATTTTGAATAATTTTAGGTTGCAAGCTGGGGAGCTTATCTGTTGAAAAGGAACGTGCTGGCCATGTCTTTTGCTCCAAGGGATTCACATGAGGCGCAAGTGCAATTTGCGCTGGAGAGAGGAGTGCCAGCAGTAATTGGCGTTCTTGGAAGCATAAAACTTCCTTACCCATCCAGATCCTTTGATATGGCTCACTGCTCGAGATGTTTAATTCCATGGGGAGCAAATGGTGAGGTTTAACAGTAAATGTTGCTGTATCTATTCAGGAAAAAAGAGATTTCCTTACTTTTTTGCAAAGTAGCAAGGTGATTCTCATGGTATATGTTCCTGTTTTTTGTTTTGATCAACATATTCTCTGTTTATTTTTTTTCTGTAGATGGAATGTACATGATGGAGGTGGATCGGGTTCTTAGACCTGGTGGATATTGGGTACTGTCTGGGCCACCCATTAATTGGAAGACAAATTACCGGGCTTGGCAGAGAACTAAGGAAGATCTTGAGCAAGAGCAAAAAGGGATTGAAGAGATTGCTGAACTTCTTTGCTGGGAGAAGTACACAGAAATAGGAGAAATTGCCATATGGAGGAAGAGAATAAATGCTGATTCTTGTCCAGGAAGGCAAGATGAACCACGTGTTAAAATGTGTGAAATAGTGAATGATGATGTCTGGTAATGATCCTTATATTTTCTTTCTAAAAATTTAAATATTAGGTGGAGAAATGTATTAACAAGCCATTTGCTAACCTTTGTGATGCATGTCAACAATTTCTTACGTTTTTGCAATCTCACTTCCTCTATGGAGACATGTTTTTGCTAATGTTCCATTTTACCGATTTACTTATAATGCTACAAATTTACTATGTTTCAGCCTAGAATTATAGTTTTTATCTAACTTGCTTCATTCCCATATTTGGACAAAATATTACACATTTTATGTTATCCTCTATTAGGTCTTTTTTTTTTCCGTATGCATCATTTTGCAACATTTCTTAGTTTTCATTGATATCTTTAATTAAGTTTTCCACATGGCTCTCCTATGGACCTACAAGGTATTTCTAGGATAAAAGTGGCTTGAAACATTTTAAAACAAAAGAAATCTCTACCCTTTTCCCATTTCCATTAGTTTGCAACCGGCTGCTTAGACGATATGGAAAGTGGCCGGTTATTAGAAACCTCATTGCTCCAACAAAACTATTCTAAATAAAAGGGAGGTTATGAGGGGAATGATATCCTGCTTTTCATCACCTTTGTGCGCCACTCTCAAACCAATTAGGAGGGGTAGTTTCATGCATGTATTTTTGTCTTTGTTTGAGAGAGCAACATATATAGTGAAAGATTCAAATTATCAGATTCTATAAACACACATGAAAGTGTAGAGGTACTAACTATCGTGGATTAATTTATAGTATGAAAAGAAGCAAAATAACATTAAAATTTGTTTGGATTATTAGAATTTGTGCTCACGAAGAGCACCAAAAGCAATCCAATCCTACTTGGGTTACTATTACCAAAAAAGAGTCTCAAATAGTCCTAAATTATTTTTATGTGGCCAATATAGTCCCTGAATATTACATTTCTTCAATATAGTCTATTGACTCTACAAAATTGATTCCAAATGATCTCTCCATTAGAAATTAATGAAAATTGCAATACAAAATTGATCTCAATTTGATCCCTTGAATATACAAATTTGTTCCCAATTTAGTCCCCGAGGGACCATTTGGGTTAAATTTTGTATTGTTAAGTTACTAAACTGGAAAAATTGTGACTTTAGGACTAAATTGATTACATACAAAAAGTTGGGAGGCTGTTTTGGGCTTTAACCCATTTTTTTAATATTGAATTTGGATTTGTAAATTATATGACTCTACGAGGTGGATATGAGGATATCTGTTACTAATTTGGAATAGAAAAATTTTTTCCAACAAGTTCCTATTGAACATTTAAATTAAACAATCTATGTTGTTTGAAACAAGAACTACTTAACATAGCTCAATATATGTAAAACTGAAAACATTTGTCTTGCATCACATTTATCATTTTTGTATATCATTTGCATTTTGCGACTCATATCACATGTATTTCTCTCTCTCCCCCTCCACACACACACACACATATTTATTGTTGCGGGTTAGAGTATATGCAATATCCAGCACACAAACAGATAACACAAGATTTTTTATGTAGAAAACCCTAAAAAGGGGAAAAACCATGGGGTCATGTCTAGTTGAAACAATTTCACTAGTGTTTGAGTAGATTACAGTTGATTGAATCATCCTTGAGGGTGATCAAATTACAATAATCAACCGTCTGGTTGAAATCTAGTGACAAACAGAGGTAAGGCGCAGGTCTGGCTACGTTTTGATTTAGCGGAAGTCCGGCGTCAGTTGGCGGTCTGGCGGAAGTCCAGACGTTAGTCGGTGGTTCAACGGAAGTCAAGACGTCAGTCGGTGGTCAAGCGGAAGTCTGGGCGTCAGTAGGTGGTTTGGCAAAAGTCCGGCGTCAGGCGGTGGTCTGGTGGAAGTTCGGCGTCAGATGGTGGTCCGGCGGAAGTTTGGCGTCAGTTGATGATCCGACGGAAGTCTGACGGTGGTCGAGGAGGAGTTAGGTGGCAAGAGCGATCTCCGATCTCTCTTCTTGCTTCCTTGCTTGGGTCCTTCATGAGAAGTGAGGGGTCTATTTATATATTTGACCAGTAAATAGTAAATTTTGCTAAGGCTGGTTCTCCTTCTAATGGGGCATGCAGGCATGTGCATGTCTGAGTTGACCCTTGAACAATGTTGTATCTTTAGTTATTCAAATAAATCAAAAGAAAGAAAAGCTTTTCTTTCACAAATGTAATGGGAAAGAGCTGCCACAAATGGAGAAGCCTTGTTTTGTTAAAGAAGCTTAAAGAGCCACCCTTGTACTGAATTAAACAATAAAAGGATAAGAAATTAGTGCCTCATCTGTTTTGATCAACTTGAGATATGAGACATTACTAAAGAAGCAAGAAAAAAAGTATAAAATCAGCTCTCGACATACGGATTGGGAAGTGAGACATTACTAAATTGTGGATTACAAAAATTTAGGAAGGGAAGACTAGAAAGTGCTTGCTTTTCACAGCAAGGAAGTGTCTGAATCAAAGAAAAATTCATCTGCAGCACAAATCAGCTCTCGACATACGGATAATTGATAGATACATGATTAGCGAACCTCCAAAAAAAATCTTAAAATTTTTCCTAATCCATTCTAGCCTTTCATTATGGAGTTTCAAGATAACCTTAGCTTGTTAGCATCAAATCTAATGGATATCAGAGCTCTCATTCTAAGTGACAAACAAAAGAGGGCTTTAAGAAATGGGAGAATCTCTTTTTGTCCTAGTTTGACATCAAAAGAGAACAAAGAAACTGATGGGGACATCAGAGCTTGGAAAGTCTACCAGAGACGTGGCTGCCGATGTACGGCCACGATCGAATCGATGTATTTTTGAGTCATATTATGTATTTGTCTTTTATTATTATATGTTTGTTATTTCTCACTTTTTACCCCTTATTAAAGGGAGGCCATGTGTAAGCTCAAAGGGCATTATTGTCTTTTATTTTTTAGACCTTTGTATGAGGTTATATATAGCCCTTATGTTCTCTTTTCATGTTAATGAATGATTACTATTGAAATTTCAGCTTTGTGTCTCTTGGTGAGTTTGTGAGTTTTGGAGAAGAGCCTAGGAGAGGCTAAGTGCAATACCCAACAACCACCCTCGGGTGAGTTCTTGGTTCTCTAGCCTTTTCCCCTTTTCTTCCCGCCCTTGTACCCGTCGGCCAAGGATCACCACAAACCACCACCCCTCTCACCACCCAAGCCGCCGGCTACCTTAATCTCCCTCCCCACCTGAGCCCTACCCCGTTTTCCCCCACCACCATCCACGGCCACATCACAAACCGCCGGCCCACCCTTATTTCCTAATATAGATTGAATATAATTAGGATTAATTTTGAATGTAAATCCAAGTGATTTGAAATTCAAAATTTTCCTAAAATATGAAATCTATTTTAGGAAAGTCTTTAAATCTCATACAAATCAATCTATAATTGAATGAGATTTAAATTTCTCTTACCTAATTTACAATTCCCAATCAAGCAAGCCATAAACACTTGCCTTAAACCCCACCCCTCTCCTTATTGTCATTGCCCCCCCTTTGGAATCCCAACAACAACAACATCAAGCCTTTATCCCACTACGTGGGGTCGGCTACATGAATTCTTTTTCTCCATTGTGTCATATTAAAAGTCAAATTCTCGTTTAAATCTAATAAAGAGAGGTCATTCCTAATATTTTCTAACTAAGTCTTTTTAGGTGTACCCCTACCTTTCTTAACACAAGTCAAATTTAATTCCTCTACTCTCCTAACCGGGTCATCGGAAGGCCACCTTTTTATGTGACAAAACCATCTAAGACGACTCTCTAATCTTATCTTCTACTGGAGCTACTCCAACCTTTTCACGTATATGCTCATTTCGTATCCTATCTCTAAGGGTAAAGCCACTCATCCACCTGAGCATCCTCATCTCTGCCACACTTAACTTAGTATTATGCTTCTCTTTTAATGGCCAACATACGGCACAATAAAGCATTGCAGGCCTCACTACCATCTTATAGAATTTTCCCTTAAGTTTGAGGGGTACATTTCTATCACATAACAAGCCCGATGCATTCCGCCACTTCAACCATCCAACTTGAATTATGCTGATAATATCCCATCTATTTCACCATCACTCTGAACAACAGATCCAAGATATCAAAACGTGTACTCTTATTAATGACTTGATCGCCCAAAGTCACAATCCCCTCACTAGGACTATTACTGCTAAAATTACACTCCATATATTCCGTTTTAGATCTACTCAAGCGAAAACCTTTAGACTCTAAGGTTGACCTCCATAATTCAAGTTTACCTTCAACTCCCTCTCTAGTCTTATCAACAAGAAGAATATCATCAGCAAAAAGCATAAGAGGAAGAAAAGATATCGAGCAAAATTGATAACAAAACTATAATTTTCTATTACATACTAAATTTCTTTCTGATGAAATGGCAATTCATCTTGATGTGTTTTGTGCGGGCATGAAACATGGGATTATTGGCTAGGGATTGGGAGAGAAGATCCTCTCGAATTGAGGATCAATTATATCTTGTTTGTTTCTTCGTTTATCTGATTTCCATCAATCAAAAAGTGCTGTTTTTGTTGAATTTTTCCATCCAAATCTTGTTCGTTTGCTATTTTGTTCTCTCTTGTTAGGGATTACTTGGATTTCTCAAGTATTTCCTATCAAATTGGTATCAAAGCAGATTTTGGGACCAATTGTGGGCTGATTTCTGGAAAAATCAGTGGTGACTTTTGGTCAGAAGGAAGAATTTTCGCTGTTTTTTTATCAAAATCCAGATTTTTGAAGGGGAAAAATTTCGAATGGCGGCCAAAGAAGTAGATGCATTGGAGGAACGTCTCGAAGGAAAGATGAGTCAAATAAAAGCCATAGTGGAAAATCGAATCTCCTTCGTAGAAGACAAGGTTTCATCCGTGGAAGACAAAGTTTCTGATCTTCATGCGATGGTGAAGAAGTTATTGAAAAATCAAATTCAAACGGTGGCATCAGAGGCAAAGGGGCCCATGGGATGAACTACGAATTATGAT